AAAAGGTTGCCAAGCCCTGTATTGCCAGGATACCTTATTTCCCTCTACTTAAAGAGAAGACATTTCTGCTTTGTCCTCTACTGGCCACATGTATTCTGGGCTGTGACCAGGCATTTTGCACCTTATCTTCAGTTTCTGACAAATTAGAAGTCAAGTATTTAGCAACATTTTTATCTACTGTTATATGACAGCTGTAAGCTGGTATTTTCCGATGCCTTTGTAATGCTGAATTGTTGTTGCACCGTGGTCCTCTATGGAGATCAACTTGATCGTTAAAGGCACTACTGATGCTGGAAGTGGTTTGAGTGCTTCATGTGCAATGCTCGTCAGTCTGTAGTTTTCATTGCCTCATCATGTTGTGAAGGTAAATACTAGAGCTAGACTTTTCTTTTTAGGAGCTGAACTTTAGACTCCTTTGTAATAAATGTAGCTGAGTAAGATCAAACCGTGTGGCAAAACTGATTCAAATTTCACACCTAAAGTTATGAATTGATGAATTGTAGATGTCAAAAAAGGATATTTTCTGCTCTGTGCAGGTGCTTTTGTGATGAGGGCATTCACCTTGAAGGAAAAAAATCTGTCCACCTTTAAGGATGTTTATTTAAATAGTCTTTGAACTCAGGACTTCCCCTGCAAGGTGAGTGCCCTAACTAGCACGCAGGAAAGTTCAGGGTCACTTTCTGTCTTTCTCTGTAGCCCAGAATATGTGAACGCTTTCCAACAGGAAGGCTGGGGAGCACTCCCACACTAGAATAGCTTACAGTCTGCTGGTTGGTGCGCTCTCTTGGGAGATGTAGATACAAACCCTGTTGAGTGGAGAAAGGGTGTGAAGCCTGGTTTTCCACAACTTGCTAACAAAAAAGGGAGTGACACCACTACCATCGCTTCCCCGTCAGTTGTGTTTTAAAAGGAAGGAGTGACTCCGTTTTTTGACAGGAACAGCTTAAGCACCTAATTCCAGACACAGTTTCAAGGTTGTGAATCGTAGCTGTGTTCCTCCAGCTCAGCCGTAGACACCTCAAGCATTTTTACATGTGTTTTGGGACGTGGCACCAGGCACTTTTGATTAGTGAGCTGTGCTAATTAAAAATGTCCCCACACTGAAAAAAATGGCAGCGGGGCACTCTGAACTAAAGCTCATTGAACGTGTTTTATTTCAGAGTGCCTCACCGCCATTTTGTCAGCACAGGGGCGCTGATACAGGTGACTTGGAGGGCTGCCGGAGCACATCAGTTTCCATGGTCCACAGACTTGTGCTGGATTTCCAGCACATCAGAGTAAGCTCCATGCACGTACATGGGAGCCTCTAAGTTCTAAAGAGGAGAAGAGCTCAAGACACGCAGCATTTTCTACTGGGTGCATTAGGCAGTTAGCTCCCAAATGTGGTACATGACTGCCGGGCAGCATGGGCTCACAGACAAGTTATTGCAAGATAAGAAGGAGACGTGGGTTTGCCATACATTAACTGCTCTGCAGTAACTCTGCGCATAGTTTTACCCCTCAAGTAAATGAAAGTTAATGTTTGGTAGTTTGGCTCTCCTGTGAGGGGTAGGCAAAGGCTAGTTTTCATTCACTACATCATAAGAGTCTGCACTAAACAGTTATGGTGAAACAGCTGAAGCGCAGTAAATCCCTGTCGTCTTTTACCCCATGATAACTTGTTTATGTACCCATGGCCTAGGCACCTGATCCAAGACTGTCATTGTGCTCCAGGACCTGTGTGACTAAAAAAATAAGGGTGGTGATGCTCAGTGCCATTATGCCCAAATCCGTTTGCAGGTCTGGTTCTGAATCTTTCAAAACCAGTACAGCATATGCATTCCTAAGACTTATAGTTCACATAACACACAGTGAGAAGTCCTAAAAGCTTAAATTAAAAAAGTCAAATCTCAAGGAGGAAAGATGAGCTTAATGCAGTTCCTCACAGTTCCTGCTGTTTAGTTATCAGTCTTCTTATTTTTGTATTCATTTTTTATCTATTTATCTATGGCATTATTTAATAAAGCTTTTTTTAATACAATAACATTTTATATGCAATCCTAGACAGTAAGACACACAATTTGTTACATGCTGCTGTTTAATTATTTCATTATGATAAAACTAATTTGTTTTATAAACAGTATCGCCTCAGATTTAAAAAAATCTCTTAAATGCTACAATAGTTTGAACTTTTCCATAACCCAGTGAGATTCTTTTAATAATGACTTGCACATAGTATGCTAGGAAAAAAATCTGTTATTTGAAAGCACGTCTCCTTTTAAATGTTGTATATGGAGGAAGTTAGGACCTTATGGCCATAAACCTGGAAAAACTTTGGTGGTATGTATAGTCTTGTGGGGTGCCGTGACACTACTCATGGCATGTCCAGTGAAGTATTTGCCTGAGTCTTTCCAGGATCAGAGCTGAAACATGGGTTACTTTATTTTTCATCCCCAAAGCAAAGTTAAATAATTTTTATGAGGTCAAAGGATATATTTGTGTGAATATAGGACGTTTAATGTGGGAGCCACTCAGGGCACCTATACATGTGTTGGACGTCAACTTCAAAACATGCTAATTAGCGTGCATTGGAGGAGATTCTGTCAACCTGCAATTCGTTCCTAATTAGCTCAATTAATTCCTAATTGGCCCGCTTCCACAGCCTCTGCATTACATGTATTCAGTGTCCCCGTGCTTCAAAATAGTGCCGGGGTGCTTTAACTAAAGCTCATCAAACAAGCTTTAGTTCAAATGCGGGATGCTGAATACACGTGACGCTGCAGGCATTTTACTTAGAGTGGCTCTTAGAGAGCACATATAAAGACAGTCTCAGTGATGACATGATAACTAGTAAAATTAATTTGCTCAATTTATTTGAGACCATCCAACTTGGATGATTCCCACAGGAAAATGTACATGTGATTCTGTGTTTGAAGTAAAAGATATATAGACAAATTTCTCAAAATGTAGCCTAATATCCTAAGCCTTGGTATCCTCCTACCCCCCTTTTTTTTGTTAATATCTGAGCAGGGGGTTGTTTCTTGATCAGCTGTCTTACTTCAGTGGGACCTTATGTAATGCGTGGTTTTTCAAACTAGATCATTGTACATAGGGCAAGTTTTGGCAAGAACATTGTGAGAGATGATCAGGAACTAATGAGAAAAATGACTTCCACATGAGTTGCTTTTGTTCAATTTACTTTCCCTGGTGTCAGAGAAAGCAGTCAGCCATTTAGACCAATGAACAGCATAACATTTCTGAGATTTGGTAAAAATGTCATGTATGACAGTCAAAGGATAAATCGCCACGTTGTTCCTGTTATATAAATCTTTTAAAAATAATGTGCTATGTGCTTTAGACAAACATGAAGACAGCACACCTGCTTTAAAGAACTTGTTCCAAACATGGACTCACTTTTTAATGTTGCTTAGCTTAACAGTTTAAAATAAATATGCCAACTCCATTTTTATGAATTTTTAATATTATTCATATTCACTTTCATCTAAAGGTCTTAAAGGGTATGATTCACTGCCCATAGAAGTCAGTGATCATCTTTCAAGGTGCTTTCATTTTAAAAGTGGAGAGAAGTATTCTTTTTAGATGCATATATCGCTATTTGGTGAGATGGAATAATAGAAAGTAGATGGTCCTTCATTCTTCTTTAATTCTTTACATGTGTATATTCATATGGGATATACCACCTGTGAAAGGGTTTCAAAATGTTGCAAGCCTCTAGTGTAGTGGTCACTAACCAGCCGATCTCAATTGACTGGTTGTTTGTGGCACCTCTGACAGTTGATCTCAGTCTGTCAGAGCAGCAGCGGCAGGATGCACGTGGCTGGGCTGAGCCACACCCTCTGCCACCTGGGCCAAGCTGGGTAAGTGGGGTCAGAGCCTGGCTGACTTGTCCAGGAGATAGAGTTGGGAGGGTGGGGGCAGGGCAGGGTAGGAAGCTAGTTT